GAAGGTGAGCATCATAGAATCAAGGCCCTAAATTAACATTTATTTCTTACCCAAGTTACTTTCTCATCAAATTGGCTTCCAAAGCTGATTCATTTAAAAAAATCTCTGAAGTAAATAAAAAATACTTTACTTACCTTAGATTTCTTTTAAAAATCTGACAACAGTTAATTACATGGAATTTTGACATTGTGATTAAGTTTTTTTTAACTTGCGTTGACAAAAAAAAAAAAAATTGGTGGTGTTAGAAAGGGTGTAGGTGCCCTGCTTTAAGACGCTTTCCCCCGACGCTGTCATTGCTGGGTAGTACTCACAGCTGACATGATGAGCTCGCCCCCGAGATTCTGGATCTCGGCCTTGACTTGGCTGCAGATTTTCAGTTGGTGAGAGTAGAACTTGATCTGTTCCAGGTAGGCCAACAAATCCTGCTTACATGATGGGTCTGGACACTATGTATACATAAGAGATACAAATTGGAATAATAATAGAATTATGAATGATAGGACAGAGTGAATAAATATTAAAATTACAGGTAACTCATAAGGCAGCAAGTTGGTTTATATTAAGCACCATTTCTTAAATCAGATCCCTGGAATTTCAGATATTAAAATCCACATAAAATAAGTGTCATTAATTATTAAAGTTAGAAAGATTCTGATAAATATTCAGATAAATACAAAGAAATATTTAATATGATATTATATTCCCCAAATAGAATTGCTATTGGAATAATGTTTGAGAGACTTAATATTGCATTTTCTATTCTGTAATATTTCTATGGACACAAAAAGCATTTGAAAACAAAACATATTATGTTCTATCACTTTACACATTTAATGTGCTAAGCTGTTATAGACAATATCATTTTCACTTTAAATAACAGATGCGGATACACCTGGAGCCAAGAAATATACAGAATAAATCTGTCAGAGACAAATGAACTATGATTTCAATTCTGCTACCGTGAATTCTTTCATATTATATTGTACTCCCATGTTATATAATATTCTTTTCCATCTTATATTATATTACCTAAAAAACAATTTGGGGTTTCATCATAATAATATGGAAAATATCTGTGCTTAGAGCTTAATCTATTTGCTCTTCATCATATATATGAAATATTTATAATGGATTTTTAAAAACTCTTATTAAATCAAAGTTAAGAAATTATAATAAGAAAATGGACATGCAGACAGTGATTTATTTATAAAAACATTCACTGAAACATTGTTTATAATAGCAAAATTTCCAAATAACCTAAATGTACTAAAGTAGGAGAAAGACAAAATAACAATACATATTTAATAGTGTGATATTTTATAGCCACAAGAAAATAATGCTTTCAAGTGATACTTGAAAAAAGCATTTTTCAAGTTTTACCTGAAAAAAGCATTTAGGGAAATAAGGAAATGGAAAAAAATCAGTAAATCACTATTTTAAATGGCATATACTAAATCAAATAAATGGAGAAAATATATGTTTAAAACATAAGAGAAAAAATGACAAATTTTAGCAATATGATATAATCCTAATTTCATTTTATTCATATTTTATACATTGTAAAGAGACATTACTTTCATAATTATAAAAAATATTTTGTAAAAGCTTTCTGTATAATGATTTAAATGGAAATAAAAATGTAGAATAAAAGAACAGAACCTGTACACATATTTGTTTAATATAGTAGTTAATAAAATGAGTTATTTTTAGAAATTCTTTGTAAGCTTACTCTCTTTTAGATTTGCTAAATGGTCTCATGTAGGTAGCTCTGGAATATGTGACTCTCGGGTCAATGTGACTAATAATCAACAAAAGTAATTCTTAAAGATCAAATGGAATCTTCTCTAGGTATTCCAGTCCTAACTTCTGTACCTGTAGTTATGGCCCTATTTGGAAATAGTCATTTTTGTTATGCAAATGAAATAATTCAATATCTTGAGTCCTAAATCTAATTACTTCTGAATTAGATAAAGAACATAATAAACAAAAAATCCAATCTCACTGCTATCCAGTTGATTCTGAATCATTGTAATTGATTTTATAGCTCAGGGTAGAACTGCCCCTGTGCGTTTTGGAGATTGTAACTCTTTAAAGAGGGAAGAAAAGGAAAGTCCTGTGTTTCTTTCGAGGACCGGTGGTTGGTGGCTTCAACCTGCTGATTCTATGGCTAACCACAAGACGCAGAGAAACACACACAAGGAGATGACCAATAAAAGGAATGCCGAGAAATGTATTACTACCAATCACCAGAAGCTAGGAGAAATCTATATGACTACGACCTAATTTGAACTTTTAGCCTTTACAACTGTGGGAAAATAAATGTCTGTTAAAGCCACCTACTTGATATTTCTGTTACAGCAGCTCTGAGAGACTAAGACAGTAGTAAAAATATCATGATTCTGCAGAGCTACTTGGAAGCTGCAAATAAGCACAGATTCATGCATAAGTTGTGCTATGGGTAGAATGTTTTGACTTCCAAAATATGTTGAATTCTTCTTCCTGGGAATATGACCTCTTTTGGAAATAAGGTCTGTGGCAATTTTACTAGGTAAAATACCATAAATTCACACTGAATTCATATCCTTAATCCAATATGTTCATATTCTTAGTCCAGCATAAAAAAATAATAAACAAAATAGATGAACCGTTAGAGGGAAGAATGTCAGCAAGGGAAGAAGATGAAATTTGCATGTTAGAAATGCCTGGGGTAACGAGCAACTTGTGCTAAAGAGACAAGAAGGTTTGTTTCTAATTTTAGAGAAAGAATAGCCCTGAGAAAACCTTCAATTAGGGATTTTATTAGCCTCCAGAAAAGTCAAAAATGCCTTTCTGTCATTTTAAATAATTATTGGTTAGTGTTGTTAGGGCCACCTCAAGAAACTAAACAGATAGCTAGATAGATGATAGTAAGAAAGAGTAACAATCCAACAAGAGGATAGAATGAAGGAAGTAGGAGTGATCTCGCTCATAGCACCATTGGGACTAAATTGGACCTAATAAAAAAGAAGAAATTGGAACAGACACAGATGAAGAACAAAGAAGAGAAGGGAGAGAAAGATAAATATGTGTCTGAGGAGAAAACAGAAACACTAATAACTAATTTTTATGAACTCTGACTATGTGCCACATGCTAAATTAACTAAATTGTAGTTACATAATACGGTGTCGATTTGAGGATTAAGAGTGTAGGGGTGGGGTAGGGGTGGGGTCTAGCCCTCAATTAGGATATATCCAACGAGGCCTCTTTCTGGGCATGGCCTTTTCCTCTCTCTCTCTCTCTCTCCTCACTCCCTTGGAGACTCTTGACTGACAAGGCTCATTCCCTGGGAGACATTTCTGAGGAGAAGCCACATGAAGCACCCCTGAGGCAGTCAGAGTTTCAGGGCTGAAGGAACCATGTGGAAATCCCTTACAATGCCACTGGATCCATAAGACTTCCAACCCACTGACTAGTGATCTTCCTGCATTCAGTGTCATTGCATGTGTTTCATGAGTCTGAAGAGGACTCTATAGATTGGTATCAGACATATGGGCTAATGTAGGGCTTATGGACTTGATTGGGACTGGGCTGGGATGTTTTCTCAATATTCAATTGCGCTTATATATAAACCTCTTTCTCATGCACATATGAGTATCCATTATTTTGTTTCTCTAGTCTACACAAACTAACACATAAATTGAGTTTATAATTTAATTCAATCCTCAAAACTTTAAGAGGCAGATGTTTTCCAACCTTTATAGCTGAGGAATAAGAAAGTCAAAGAGCTTAATAACATTTCCTAAGGTTGAAGAGTCAATATTTGAAACCATGTCTACTTGGTTTTCCACCACTCATCTGCTGGTGTGTCATAATGTTGTATGTTGCAGGTTTCCATTATTCTGGACACTATGGCACCAGTGTTTCAAATAACAGGAGGGTTACAAATGGTAAAAAGGATTCAGGGGGAACTGTCAGATTAAAAAAGACCAGGAAGAAGAGCCTGTCATTCTGTTACTGAAAAAAAAAAAATTTCCAGAGAAAACCTTATGAATATCAGTGGAACACTGTCTGAAATTTTGCTGACACCAAAACCATGTCTGGGGAAGAGTTGCCTTCTCAAAGTAGAGTCAACGAATCAATGACATAGATGGGGTAAAGTTTTCATATGTTGAACATCACAACTCAAAATGAGGAGCACCCATTAAAAACCAGAAGATGGAATATACAAAATATTATATTAGTCTAGGAAAATTGAGAGGTTATCAAAAATAAAATGGAATGCTAATTTATATTCTAGACACTAGTGAGAAAAATGGACTCATATTGGTCATTTGGAATTAGACTATCAAATGATTTATTATTCTTGGAGTGGGAAATAGATAAAGTATGCCTTCACTTTCATCATCAAGAGGAAGATTTCAAGATATCTAGTGAAGGACAGCATGGTTAGTTATAGGAAATACCAAAACACTTCAAAAGAAAAACAGTTAATATGACTGTTATTTAAATTTACTCACCAACAACTGCTACCAAAAATGCATATATGATAAATTTTACCAATTTCTACATCTTCAAATAATCAAATATGCAACCAAGATGTTCTGATAACTAGTGATGATTGGAATGCAAAAGCTAGAAACAAAGAAGAATCAGATACTGGAAAATATGGCTGTGGTGATTAAAATGAAAACTGAGATCATAAGATAGAATTTTTCGAGACCAGCATTTTATTCACTGCAAATAACTGTTTTCAACAACATAAATGGGGACCATATATATGGAACTTGCCTGATGGGAAAATTGGAATAAAATTGTTTCCATCTGTACAAGGAGATAATGGAAAAGCTTAGTATTATCAGTCAGAACAAATCAGGGAAAACTGCAAAACAGTCTATTAATTTTACATATACAAACTGAAGTTGGAAGAAAGACTGAAATTATTGAAAAATAATTTCATGATAGCTAACGAATGACTTTGAGTATAATTAACCTGAATTTAGATCTTTCTCAACATGAGATTTATTTCATCGAATGCTAATAATCAGAGAACAGGCAAGATGTGGAATGACATTAGCAATATGTATGTGGAAATTAAAAGAAAAGACTGAAAATATAGAGAGTTGCTAGAATAAAAGGAAACATTGATAAGACCTGACAGATGATTCCAAAGGGCAGCTGGAAAAGATAAAGTATTACAATGAAATAGTAGAATCTAAAGTTATAAAACCAAAGAGGAAATGCATTTCTCTATCTGAATGAACTGTAAAAAAAAAAAAAAAATCACACCACGTGTTCAAATAATGAAGAGCTATAAGGGACACATATTAAACACTGCAGGAACTTTTTTTAAAAAAACAACTGGGAGGAACACACAGTCTCGGTACCAAAATATAACTGGTCAATGATCAATCATGTCAGGAGATAGTCTAGGACCAAGAACACATTGTATTGAAGAAATAATT